TTGCGTGTTCAGACTGTGTGTCGAAAGCATCGATTAACTCGATCGTTCCCCGGCTACCTTCTATCTCTCTCGCCTGGTAATTAATGCGTCACTTATTGATTGTGATTTATACCTGTACACGGGTTTTCGGTGTTGCGCAACCGTATACATAGCGGTTGATTCTGTTTGATGGATTAATTAATTGCCTGGGTGATCTGGTTACGATTTTTCCTTCTTCGTTAAATTCAAGCGTTAACCCTCGAACACCGAACCATGGAAAGAGCCACAATTTCAAATCAATTCTCTGTGTCAATTTCAAGTTATTTTCATTTTCCAAATTGAACACTGTTACTTTAAAATTGTCTTTATATAACTTTGTATATGTTTGGTAAGTTTGGGTCACAATTGACCCTGGCTCGGCTGTTGAAGGATTAACAAGCTAGTATTAAATATTTTTTAAGGAATTCACTTTTTAATAATAAATAGTTATAACAATGAAATAAAATAAGTATGTGGGTGGATTAATTACAGTAGACTCTTGTCATACTGCCGTAGACGAAACTATAGAAATGGAATATTTTCTAAAAGCTAAAATTATAGAAATTAACACGTTCGGATTCACTTGTGTAAATTTACCTATAACAAATCACGAAATCCAAAAGAAGTCGCTGATGCGGCGAAAAATTCAATTCCAGGTCTAATGGTAAGATATCGATATAATTTCTCGCGAGTAACAAGTGAAATCAATTACACAGAGTTACATGCAAATCCGATCAAGGGATCTCCACCAGGTGGCAAAACACGATGACAAATATCAGCCAGTTTCACGCGCTTCTGCTTCAGAGTTTCCATTGATAACGCGGTCGGGACAAGCGTCCAAACGTCTCCTTCTACTTTCACTTTGTACCGGACTTATGGTAAACACGGCTATTAATCGTTTCGCGGATAATAGGAATTAGATTCGGTTCGGTTTGTCGTTCCCTCGGCACCGCCGCCTCTTTTACGAGGCATAAACGATATTTATGACCGTAATCCACTCGCGGCCAGCCTCCTAATGCTTGATTTCTTCATCCTCCGATGGAATTCAAGCTCCACCGAATCTCGCGGAAACCGACTAACGTCTTAATGTCACGATTTACCGTCGGATAAATGCTTTCACCAAAGATGCCTTTCTCTGGACATTCAACGAATTGTATTGTTTATTGCGATACAAAGGAATTCGAGAATGTTGCTAATCGTTTAGAGAAATGACATTCTCCATAAAATTCTTCTTGGTTAAAAATGGGTAATGATGTTAACTATAGTTAACAAGTTTTAGAATGACTTAAGATTGATTTTGATATTTTGGAATTCTTTGACAACTATAGTTAACAAGTTTTAGAATGATCTAAGATTGATTTTGATATTTTGGAATTCTTTGAAAAATATTTTAAAAAATAATGGATTTTTATTTTTAAAGAGGTCGTTGATCTTTTTATAAACCTACTTGGAATTTAATAATAATTATCTTAATTATTAGTGAATTTGCAGCACTCGTTTTCAGTCTAGATAATTATGATATGCTTAATTTAATATAATTCTCAGATCGGTACAATTAGTATTAACTAAATACTATTAGCTTTCCTGAATTTCCTCCTACGATATGGGATATTTATTGCAGTCTGTGTTGGAATGCTACTTTAGCAATGCCCTGATCAGTTGTAATAATTAATGGACTGACGATGTGTGTATAGATATCCAGAAACTAGTTATGCTTCGATAGTCATATTCCGTGCCACTTCGAAACCTATTAACCAGTAATAATTGATAATATATAATACAGACACAAATAGCTACTTCGAACAGTCCATCGAGCAGAGAAAAATGTATAATAAATTTTTCTTCCAAAAGTTGGAGTTCATAAAACACGAATTATCTCAGGCAGAAAATAGAAAATTGAATTTTATCACAAAATCTATGAAACTCAGTGACGAATATTGAGGAAAATTCTCAATGCACCTATAGGGATCCGAGTTTTAACTAATTAAAATTAATTACAAAATAGCTCGTCGTGTTACAAATTTTCCAATAAAGATTCGTTCCCGATGCCAGTATTCAACAGCATGGAAATCGAAGGACGAAGGTACTAAAGCTAAGGGACCGGTCCTTGCAGAGAATGATAACGCGATTCGAGTTCCCTGGACGTAGGTCGCGGCCATCTTTATTATGACAATAATTTAATTTCGAGCCAGCTACTTCTGGGGCCGCTCGTAAATACACCGATTATCGGTCTCGCTTATTAAATCCGTCGTCCAGGGACATCTTTGCCGGCTCGAAGCCAGTCCACGTCCGCTCGGGTTCATCTTGTCCCAGGATATACCTTTTCTCCTTTCCACCCTGACATCCGTTTCTCTCTTTCCTTCTGAAACTACGTCCTACGTACACAACTATCGTCATCCTTTTTCATCCACCAGGAGATCCGTTCACCGATGCTAATTTTACGAAGCTATATCGGCTTCAGCAGCAACGTGGCGGCAGCTTGGCGGCTACGTGGCATCAGCTTGGAACTCGTAGCGAAGAGGATACCAACGCCTCGTTCCCCTCGTGGCGGCATCACTGATGATGACGAGATGATCACTTAATTTGGCCAACAGCTGCCGCGTCCTCTTTCTTCTTTCCTCCTCCTCTTCTTCTTCTTAATCTCGTTTCTCATCCTTCCCTCGTTCGTCCCGTTCTCTTTTATAGCCTGGCTCCACGACTCAGACCGCCAATGAGCAACCATAGGCTCCAACGAGGACACTCGTGGCCTCCGAAAAGATGTCCACTTTATCGAGAAACTGATATTTGATCGTTGGACGCCGAATTAGGGTGAACCAGCGCTTTCTAGTTTGATCTGGGAAACTTTTACGGTGTTGTGACTTTGGTATTAGCTTTTTGTACGCCAATTATTTCGTGGTAAACAAGAAATTTGATGAAAAATTAGAAGAAACATGTACATACGTTTTTATTAAAAAGTAATTTCTTATTAGATTTCTTTTTAAAGACAAATACGCGGAGATATAATGAAATTTAATATTCGGACGACGGACCATGAAGAGATCCCCAATTTTCAAACGATTGACTTAGGCTTTGCTGTTCAAGCTACGAAAGCACTGAATTAATTTATACAACTTTTTACTATTTTAGTACAGAAAATACCAATTATTATGCTACTCAGATGAAAATATAATTATTGATAATTATCCTTGTTAATAATAGCAAGGGAGGTATAAACGATGATGTGATTAATATTCAACTGATATAAGGTAAAAGAGAAAAATATATTATTTTCAAGACTTCTTTTAGCAAATTTAATTAGCGCATATTCAAAGTAGAGTCATTTTTCAAAATTAAGAGTCCATTAAGGATTTCGTCGTCAAGTTAAAAGCGGGTCCACAAAGTGGCGGCCGAAAGTCGAATTTCCGGATGCTTCGGCCGACTAATACACGGATTCCAGGAGTGCTGCCTTCCTTTTTCATATATTTTTTTTAAATCCCGAAATGATTATTTATGGATGTAAGAGGACAGCGGAGGACCCTAACCGTCGCCTAAATAAGGTGTCGGTCTCGCATACCTATACCGATCCGTTATTAAATTACTATACTAGCCGAAGATTTACGGGCTTTTTCATCATCTTGGATCAACGGCCTTCGTTGGTAATTTATTTTTTTTCATGGTTCATTAGAGAAACCAGGTGTAGCGAAATTGGGCCGGCTTACTTCCTGTCTCCGCTCGCATTCTGGGAAGTAATTTTCATAAAATTATTAAAAATTCTATGATTCAAACCAATTGATTATTCTCGAATGTATAGAAAATTATCTAAAATCGAGACAAATCTGAAAACTTACAACGAGCTTGAAAAACATACCCCTATTTAGTAGGTCATTAAAAATTGAATGATTTTCGATCGACTCCCAAAGCAAATAACAATCGTGCAAAAAATCATTGTGGATACCATTGAAGTAGATTGCAATAAATATGCAATCATTTTTTATATCAGTGAAAATTACCCTGACTACCATATCGAAATCCTTGAGACATATTAAAACAGAGAGGAACGTACAAGAAGAATACAGATTGCTCTCATTATATGAATAAAAAAATAAAAAGAAAAAAGTATATTCCATTCCATCATACTGTACACGCTTTCGCGAGTAATGACTCACGTAATATTGCCGGGCCAGAAATGATTCGGTTAATTACTCCAATAACAGTCCTCTCGAATTGGCCTCCGATCACAAACTAATTCACTGTCTTTACCAATTAAATACCTCTCAACCCTATCGCATACCATCGATCCTCGAAGAAGAGGAAGAGGATGAAGGAAGAAGAAAAAACCGAGTTCATCCCTGTTCGGACGAAATTGAAACTCGATTAATCTCGATCGTGGCGTCGAACCATCGATTATTCTCGGTGGTCAGATTTCCGTGGAATTCGAAGAGCGGTCGCGAGTAACCGAAGAAGGTAACCGCCTGCGACGAGGAACCTCGAAATCCCCGTAAACTCCATAAATTTATGATCAGCGGCACACCGTCTGTCGCCGGGTTCGCTATTTTCGCCCGGGTCCGAGCGTAATTCAAAAATTCAAATTACGTATTCTATTACGTGCGAGAGCCTGGCCCGCGGAGCTGAGAAACCGCGAGGAGAAACGAGCAGCCTCGAGCGGACGAAGAAAAAGGGCAAACGAGTCGTGAAAAGAGAGAGGAAGAAAGAAAGAAGAAGGGACGAGCCACTCTGGTCGAAGGGTACAAAAGGAAGGGTCCGGTAGGTGAGGCCGACCGTAAAGGGGTGGCGGAGCGTCGAACGGGGGGGAGAGCCGGGAAGAAATGAGAAAGAGTGTAATAAATTGGCGGTGAGATTATTCTCGACGTGCATTAAGACGTCAAGCGGCGACGGACGGCCTGCAAAGTATTGCCCGACACCTTCTACGCCACTATTTTCCCCTTCTATCGCTCCCCACCGCTCCTCCCTCTCGCCCCCCACTACCGCCGTTTCGTCCTTTCCCCTACCATTGGTACGCTCACGAGGCTGGACACGCTGCTTTCATGGGGTTTGGTCGAGACGACCTACGGCCCTGTCCGAACATATCCACCTCGACGCTGAAAATTATGCTTCGGCCTAATCAGACGAAGGTGTGAACGTGACCCATCTGAATTCGTTAACCGCACCTACTGCGACTCCAATAAGGCGGGTTCTAAATGTATCGGGGTCCTTCAGGTCACTGCTTTCATTTTGCTTGCTCAGAAGTCCAAGAATGGAATTTTATTCAGTAATTTAATATTGAATTAATTATTTAATTTTGTAAAATTTTTAATTCTCTAAACAGTAGTTCAATTAACAATTTTGTTATAGAACGTATCGAAGCTTTAATTATTAAAAATAGAAATGTTCTATTTACTATTCTACATAATTCGTATACTGTGAGCTATTTTCTATAAAATAAAATAAAATATTTTAAAAATATTTCTCGTTGAAGTTACATTTCTCTGATAAATTTTCTGCAAAGTACCCTAAATATTTTATAATAACTTTTCATAGTATATGGAAGACTGGTACATAAAACTTTTCAAAGAATTAAATTAAAAATCCTTCTACATCCCCAAGGGAAAATAAAATGAATTAAAAATAAAAGAAGAGCGAACAATCTATAATATAAAAAGATGTTTGTCCAGTGGCTGACCGCGTTGTTTCCGGGAGTGTTAACAAGTCCCGATCGTTTTCTCTGCTCGAAAGGATGAGATCTTTATGCGACCGTCCGCACGCGGTGCCAGGTGTTGGCCACATAATGTATTACTTAACACCCACCGAAAAAGACCCACGTGTAGCCACGGGGGTCCTCGGATACCTAATCTATCCGGCTGGAATCGTCTTCCCAGTTGTATTCTTCCTTTGGCACGCTTTAAAAGCCATCTGACCCGACTGGATACCCTGAAACTTTTGATATTACAAAGCGTTTCAGTAAAATTTTTTCAAAATTATCAATATCCTGTCTAGTTCTAACTAGCTGGCTCGACAGGAAATACCTTAGTACAGGTACGATAGGTCGATGTTGAGCAAGTGGTTGATTTTAAAACGTCGCGTGACGAGTAACAAGTTCGAACCGGCATGCGACACGACGGAATTTCTAGCGAATCCCCGATGGAATTTGCATCGAGAGGATCGACCACCTGACGTAACTACGCCCCTTGGATTAGCTCGCCCTTGCCAGGGCGAACCGGGCAACTCGTTTCACCGAAACCGGTAATTTCGAGCCCGAGACTTGAACGCGTGCGAATACGTATTATCCTACGCCCGGAGCGTTGCCCGGCACGTTCGTTCCACGTTTCCAGACGCACCGTTCAATTTTCCAAATGGAAATGGAATGAAAATTATCGAGTTCGTTTCAATAAAACGTTCCGTTTCGTCGCTCTCAGGGACAACCTTGTATCGCAATTAACACTCTACTGTACCATTAACCTTTCAAGTACCGTTGCGAGTCGTTTATGAAACAACTATTCAATATTCCAAAATATGAATCATTTCAGAATTTCTATTTGAAACACGAAACTATAGGGTTGTGCGGGTACCCGAAAATTCGAGTACCCGGTCCTCCCAAAATTCCGGGTACCCGAAGAAATTTATATACCGTGCAAACGTTCGAAATCGCGCCTAAACCCGAAAATTCGAGTACCCGGTCCACCCTTATACGAAACGTTTCAAGCAAATCACCTCTTGTACGATCTCATCAAGACCCCCGTCAAGGCAGCAAAGGTATCAGTGACCCTCGTTAAAGAACAACAGCCAAGAAGAACGGAGGGGTGCGAACAACACCGGGGAAAGAAAGGATCTAGGAACAAACGGCGAGTGAATTCCAATCAACTGGCTAAATTACACCGGGCCATTAGCTACCAAAACTTCCACCCACTGGTGGGAATGACTTGTCAAGTATCGGGCCATCGGTTTCGATGGAACGGAAACCGGGGGCTCTCTTTTACCTGTCCAGCTGCGTTGCTCTTCGTTCTCTCTCTCGTGCGAGCGGCGAGGAGAAAAGAGGAAGACGAGAAAGACAGGCAACGGACGATGAAGACGTTGTAAAACGACTGTGCGCAGAGTGTCTTGGTTCTCACACCTCGAAGACGAAGCGGCACACGGTCAAAGGCCCGCGGGGGGTAAGTCCCTCGGACCGTGAAGCTAATTGATACGTAAGATTACGTTCCTGGCCTCGTTCCCCTCCCCCTCGCCCTTGTCCGGGATGATTGGTTGTCCGACTGCAGACCAGTCTCGGAATTCCTTGTTCGAACCTAGAAAAGCAGAGAGTTCAGTCTTGCACTCGCGTTAGTTGTTCGTAGAATGGAAGAATTTTAGGTGTTATCAATGTTCTGAGATGTTTGAAAATTTTTTTAATCGTTTAGTATTAAACGAAGGGGTTGATTTTTTTGAAAGAAGTATCTATTGTAGAATTTTGACCATATTCAACAATAAATAACTGCTCTATTTTAAATTTCTTCTAATATTTTAATAAAATTTTTTCTAATAAGGTAATTTCTTCTTTGCAATTATAATATTTTCGAAAACCTTTTCAGAAAATTTGTTAAATTTCACATCTTTTATAATTCTAAATATTTCAAGTGAATACTGTTACTAAAAATAAAATTTCTCCCAAAAAGTATCAATTACTGCCCTTCACAAAGGAAGCTTCTCCTAGACGGTCCAGCATCGAAATTCCATCACATAAATTCCCTTCTAAATCAATCTACGAAGCTATTAAAATACAACTAGCGAAACAGAGGCTCTGCGGACGAGGTCCGGGTCTCCTTCATCCCGAAGGAATTAAGAGAAGGCGAGAAGAAGGGCCCGAACTGAGAAAAGACACGGCAAGGCGTGGCCGAGGGGATGATTTAACGTCGAAGGGTCCGTGTCTCTATTCGGCGCGGACCGCAAAGGAAGAACATGCCAGGGCAACAGCAACAACAGAGCTAAACAACACTGCTCACACGCGTTTTGAGGCGGCAGCTTTACAGCCATTTAGTGTTTTACGGCCGTTTTATGAATGCCGCGTTCTACCTTCTCGTGAGAGAAGAAGCTTGGTGCACAACTTTCAAACACTTCGGATGTTTCTTTTACACAGCGGTGGAAAAATCATGCCCCTCTGTTGAATACTTTTATAACTCTACTGGCATTTGTACGTCATTGCTTGAATAAAAGAATACTTTATTCGATTCCACCTGTTTCATTTATTATTCGACCCGAACAGACTCAATACAATTTAACAAATAAGAATTTTTAATCAAAGTACCGCAGAAAATTTTACAAAAAATTGTCAATCTAACAGTAATTAAAATTTCTTAATTTCATTAAAGATGATTGACAGGGACACTGCCCACCGTTTCCAACCACGTGATCGAGAAACGATCGATCCACCTTAACCCGAGCGATAACGAGGTATTAACGATCCATGAACCAGTTCCAGAGGAGAAACGGGACCTGATCCCCACCATAGCCTCCTATAGGACCCCTGATCTCGGCTCTTTTGTTTCGGATCGCTGGAGCTTTTCGATTATCGTACGCCGAGCAGCGGAACGATCGCCTAACTCACTGGCTCCGCCCCCTCGACCAAAACCGCTCCACCCCCTCGGGCTCACCGGCCAGACGGGGCCCACTTTTTGCATTTAAATTAATTTGCGCCGATTAATTTTTAATTAAACCCGCGCCGGGACGAGGTACGCTCGGTAGGCGCGAAATACTCTCGACAAACGCGCCGACCCAACTAACCTCGCCCCTACTTCCATTTAATATGAGCATCCGAGCCCGGTGATGTTCCAAATTTCTGCGAGGACCTGGTTAACGTTCCTCGAGGGTGCGTTAACCTTTCGCTGATGGGAGGTGCTCGTATTTCGATCGAGGATCAATAAGGGGGAGGAGAAGCTTTGTGTATCAATTTTCGAAGAAGAAATTGATTTTCTTGGACGATACGGTTTCTTTAACAAATCGGGAACATTGAATCGATTTTTCTTGAAAATTGAAAGTTAATGGTACCAGAGAAATTCTAGAAGGATCGGAGAAAAGAAGAGAATCCCTTCTATGGTTCGAGCCGCATTTAATAACGCGATATTTACGAGGAATGCTCGCCTCGTAACAATATTTTTCGTCAGCCAGACGCACCGATATTCTCGATCCGAATTTCGCAACAGACGATTGCTTATGCTGATTGTATGCGTACCAAGAGAAACGACCGGTGTATCGGAATGCGATCTCCTCGTTTAATTACGAATCCTTCTGGGAACGATCACGACCCGGAATCGTACGCTCCCGTTCCACGAAATGATACGGGGCTGACAATAACATAAGAAAAGAAGAAGAAAATTCAGTAAATTACAACGATGGAAGGGCAGATGTTCATCTTCATCATCCAAAGGTTAATCAAATTTTAATTCTCATTACAGGTATTCAAAAAACAATTCTTCAATCTTGGATATTCGCTTTCCATAATCGGTTTCGTTCATTTTGTTTCGAAGTTCTTTTAAAGGTAAAGGGGGTTGGTTAACGGAAGCTTGTGCTTTTCCATCGTCTCCGGTTTCCCTTAACCCGTAGCTCGTTTAACCGCGGATGCCTTTCGAAAAAGAAGCAAACGAGACGAAGCTCTCTACGGCGGCACGAATCCACGCCTACCCATAACGATATTTTAATTAAACCGAGGCGCTGGCCGAACCGAGGAGAAATTCAATCTCGGGATAATAAATGATCGTGGCCCAACACCTTCTTGACTGCTGACGAGCCGACACCTCGGCTTAAACAGTTCACACCTTTTCCGTGTGCTTGTCCGGACTATGGCTACGTCAAGGATACTCCTCTTTATTATTTCTTTGATAAATTCGATCGAACTCGCCCTTATCATTTGTCTTACCCACGATTGAAGAGTTAGTTAGTTCGGTTACACCGTGAACCGGACGAGAGAATTATTTACAGTCAACTTAGAAAGTGTGTGTACACAAAATTACCAGTATCAATTTTAAGTTTATTATGAGATTCATTATTTCAAGGGTGGGGGTTGAAAAGTGTAAAAGTGGTGGTTGATGAGGGTTGAAATGTTGGGACAAAAGTTCAAAATTCAAATTGAATTGGAGTGTTTAGAAAATAAAAATAAAAATAAAAATTTGCGCTTTAAAGATTATAAAAAAATTATTAAAATTATGGAGGTGTGTAAGCCAACTACCCCTTGAAAGGTTTACAAAATTACATGTACACTCTAAACTCGTATTTCTAATCGAATGTTAGTGGTAAATGTGTTAATTAGCTTAATGAAAATTTCAGTTCTAAAGACAATGAAAAAATGATTAAGACCTCAGATGATTTTAAGCTAACTACCCCCTTTGAGAGGTGATATTGTCTAAAATATAATATAATTTACAAAATGACGTATGCACTGTGAAGTCATATTTCTAATTAAGTATCAATGGCAAATGTATTAATTACCTTAATGATCGACTCTAACGAGTTTCTAATTCAATGAGATTGCATTTGCTACCGTTTATCTCTGTTTCTAACGAATTTAACACAGTTTTCTAATCAGAGTGACGACCATTTATGTATAATGCGTACGGGGTGCGTGGTCGTTACCCATGTTATTAAAACGTCTGATTACGTATTGCTGCGACTCTTGATTCCATTAAAAGGTTAGGCGAGATTTAATTGCCCCATTAATCAATGGAACGATTGTGGTAGCAAGCAGCCGTCTCGTTCTAAGGGAATTAATCAAACGAACGGGAACGAAAATCGTGAATATTTCAAGCATCTCTCGATGATGCATTGCAACATTATTATCATCGATTAATTATCGCAAATGACAGCTGTACGTGACCATTGGAATGTTAGAATGTTGTAATACTTTATGCAAATTATTTCTTCATAGAAATAGGAAAATTTCTATGATAATAAAGAAACAAAGTTTCACGTGAAACGCAAGTAATAATTTCTGTTTTGTTTTATTTATGAGATAAAAACTTATAATAAGAGGTGATTGATGTTTCACTCGTAGAGTTTGAATGAAAGATGAATTCTCAGAACATGCTTTCCTTCAACCTGACTAATTTACTTGCATGACATAGTATTTTCGATGCGTAACATTCAATTTTTCGAATGACTAAACAATGAAGTCAGTCTGAATTGACAGTGTTAAAGAGGAACATCAGTTTTTGCATCAAAAATCGCCTAAGTGGCTTCAAGCTACTTATTTCCAATCATTTACTATCAGATAACATCATTACTCAAAGATCAATTAAAAATAATATATTTGTCTTTCTGTTCTACGCAAATCATTGCGAACATGTTTAATATAATACAGATGTTGCAATTGCTACTAGTTTCATATTAATTACAAATTACATTTTCAATTAACAAGATTCGTTTGAAACAAATTCACGTACTCGTTATAATTTTCCCATTAATGCTAATTACAGTGGTAATTAATAACGCATGGCTTTGATTATTAATTTCACAGAATTATACACAAATTTTCCACTCCAGAACGTAAATGTAATGCGTTAAGAGATTATTAGTGGGGCAATAATTATTTTTGAAATGAAATTCATCATTGTAAACGTTCACTTTGAAAATTACACTGAAAATAAAATCTTCAATAATTTTACTATGAAAACAAGAAAACTTAATTAAAGAAAATTCTAATTAGCATTAATAATTTCATAGCAAATGAAAAGCTTTAATTACAAAAATGTAATACCATTCATTTTCATGTATTAAAATAAAATTTCTTAGCTGTGCAAATTAAAGTAGAAAAAAAGTAATCAAAATACGAGATGCGTCCGAAATTTTAAAAACACAAAACAAGAATGTTTCAATAAGAGAAGAATCGAGATGATGCTTTTATTGAACGCGTACATTCAACCAGCAACCGTGGTAACGTCACACGAACGCCGCTTGATGAGTCTATTATAAAATTAATAACTATAAATCTCGGGCGAGCTCGAGATAGCACGTGGCCGGCCGTTTTTCATGCTCCGGTTAATTATACACGGGTGCAAATTGAGCGAACCGGAGTTAAACCAGCTTCTCTTTTCCTTTACCGACGGCCTTCGATGTCTCCTTTTCGCTACTGATTCTGTCATAGAGATAATATCGATCTGATCAGTTCTATCGATTGACAAATAGGTGCATAGAAGCTGATCTCTCTATACGATATGATTTTATGAATATGTTAGTTTTCGAAAGAAATCCAAATAGTACGAGTCAATAATTATGTGACTGAAAATAATAGAAGTATACAATTTTCAAATATTTTAAATTA